CGCTTGTGCACTCTCAAAAATAAATAAAAAATAGTTTTAAAAATGTACATTTCTGTGGTTTTTAGTATATTCACAGAGTTGTGGAACCATCACCACTAAATCTAGAACATTTTCATCACCCCCAAAAGAACATCCTGTTCCCATTAGCATTCCTTCCCCTTTTCTCCTCTCCCCTCTGGCAACCAGCAAACTCTATGGATTTTCCTATTATGAACACTTCATGTAAATGGAATCATACAGCATAATTTTTTTTAAGTTTACCAGTCCTTTTTTAAAAAAGTTTATTTATTTTGAGAGAGATAGAGCATGAGAGCAGAGGAGAGACAGACAGAGGGAGAAAGAGAATCCCAAGCAGGCTCTGCACTATCAGCACATAGCCCGTAAGCCGAGCTTGAACTCACAAACTGTGAGATCATAATCTGAGCCGAAATCAAGAGTCGATACTTAACCTACGGAGCCACCCAGGCACCCCTAGCACAATGTTTTTGATGTTCATCCACATTATAACATATATCAATACTTCATTCCTTTTATAGTTGAATAGTATTCCACTATGTGGAGGGACCGCATTTCGTTTATCCATTTATCACTTGATAGACATTTGGGTTGTTTATACTTTTTGGTTCTCATGAATAGTGCTGCTATTAACAGTTGTGCACTAGTTTTTGTGTAAACATGTTTTCTATGAGGTCCCCATTATTTATCCAGCAAATATTTATTGAGCACCAATTATGGGCCAGTCACTGCTGTAGGAACTGAAATACATCAGTGAGCAAATAGAAGATCTGTAACCTCATTCAGTTTATAAAGCTCAATGCTTTTGAGTTTATAAAGCTCCCTAGTAGGGTAGAAAAACAGTAAGCAATAAATGAAATAAATAAGGAAATCGGATCCTTTGTTAGAGCTCCAGGCTCTGAGCATGGTAAGGGGAATCTAAAATGGATTAGGTGGGAGGGGCGCCCGGGTGGCTCAGTGGGTTAAGTGTCCCACTTCAGCTCAGGTCGTGATCTTGCAGTTTGTGGGTTCAAGCCCCGTGTCGGACTCTGTGCTGACAGCTCAGATCCTGGAGCCTGCTTCAGATTCTGTGCCTTCTCCTCTCTCTGCCCCTCCCATGCTCTGTCTCTCAATAATAAATAAACATTTAATTAAAAAAAAAATAAAATGGGTTAGGTGGGAGGCGCCTGGGTGGCTCAGTCCATTAAGCATCCGACTCTTGACTTCAGCTCAGGTCATGATCTCACGGTTCCTGAATTTGAGCCCCATGCTAGGCTCTGTGCTGACAGCACTGAGCCTGCTTGGGATTCTCTCTC